TTTTGCCAACCAAAATGACCCTCCGTGTCATGGCATTCTCCCAGGATCAGACTGCGGATCTCTTCGCTATCGAGGATGCACAATCGGTCAAAAACATTAATCTTCTCAAAAAGCAATCCTTCAGTAGTGCGGTAGTTCGGCTTGGTCTCTGGGGCCTCCTTGACTTTTTTAAGGAGCTCACCATAGATAGGGTCCTGCGCATAGGCTTCTCTAACCTGCTGCTGCAGATCCTTTCCTATATCGAGGTAATGTACTATTGCCCCAAAATAATCAGCTCTTCTACTCAGAGCATCCGCGACTACGTTGTACTTCCCTTTGACAGGCTTGAGTTCAAAGTTGTACTGATCTATCTCTGCGGCCTACCTAGTAAGCTTAGGTGTCATCTTGGCCTGCGTCTTTAACCATCGTAATGTTTCATGGTCAGAATAGACTTTGAGGTGCCTACCAAGCAAGTAGTGCTTCCAGTGGTCTAACGCTTGCCTGAGAGCATAGAGTTCCCTCTCATAGGTAGATGTCGCAACCTTCTCTGAAGGCATTCTGGCGGACATGAACTCTACGGGTCTATACCCATTGCCATCGTCTTGCTGCAACACCGCGCCTATGCCGTACTGGCTAGCATCCGTAGTAATGACAAAAGGCAAGGACGGATCGGCGACCTTAAGGACCGGATACTCTATCAACGCCTGCTTTAATCTTTTCATCGCAGACGTGTAGTCCTTGTCCCACTTCCAGATTGTCTCTTTTCTCAGCAATCTGCGAAGGGGCGCACCGATGGTGGAGAAGTTCCTCACGAACTTCCTGTAGTAATTAGCTAAGCCCAGGAACGAGCGCAACTTTGTCAGCGTACGTGGCGTGGGCCAATCTCTAATCGTTGCGATCTTGCTATCCTATGGCTTAACGCCATCTCCGTCTAAGACGTGGCCTAAATACAAAACTTGGGTCTTTGGCCAATCGCACTTCTTTGCATTGATCTTGAAGTTAGCTTCCCTCAGCTTCTTCAAGACCTGCCTGAGATGACCCTGGTGCTCTTCAAGGGTCCGACTAAACACTAGGATGTCATCTAGGTAAACTACAACAAATCTGTCTAACCACGGCCTAAACAAATCGTTCATAYAGCGCTGGAACGTAGCTGGCGCATTGGTTAGTCCAAAGGGCATCACTATAAACTCGTAATGCCCGTACCTAGTCCGGAAGGCTGTCTTATACTTATCATCAAGGTGTACCTCTATCTGATAATATCCAGACTTTAAATCTATCTTAGAGAAATACTTGGCCCCCTGCACATGGTCTAAGAGATCGTCTATCCTTGGCAGTGGCTCAACATTTTTCACTGTAATAACATTCAGACCCCTATAGTCTATGCACATTCTCAGCTCTCCCTCTTTCTTAGGAACAAAAAGGACATGTGCTCCGAAAGGGGACGAACTGGGCCTAATCCAACCCTTCTCGAAGAGCTCGTCTAACTGCTTGCGAAGCTCCTCTAACTCCCGTGGGGACATCCTATATACAGCGCCCTTAGGAGTCCTACTGCCAGGCTCTATCTCAATACGGTGCTGGATGGGCCGCGGTACCACTCCTATCAGCGGCTCGGTTAGGTCCTTGAACTCTTCCAGCAGCTTGGCAATCGCAGGGTCCATCGGTTTTTCTTCCGTAGGCTCAGTCACTCGCCTCACATAGGCAACAAAGACCTGCTCATTCAATTTCTCCTTCTTCACTAATCTGGCGAACGCAGGGGCACTCAGGCAGCAATGCGCCAAGGAATTCTCTACCCCTGACAAGCCGAACAGACGGGTTGGTAATCCTCTTTCTTTGCACTCATAATACTAAGGAAATAGAAGCTTGAAAACCAAGGCAGTAAAAACACGGGATCCAGAGGAAAGCAAAAAACAGCCAACGACAACTGATTTCAAATCACCAAAAGTTGTGGACAGTCGATTAACCAGTTTCGACCGTCACGAAAATCCAACGACTTCCAAACACGACCTTATAGGCCTATAACGCGAATTTGCGCAAATGCAGAAAAGAGCCGAATGTAGCGAGATTCGGAAGCGACCCTCGAAAATTCTCTCGAATTCGGAAACCGTACTTTTCTCGTTATAGGCCTATAACGAAAGCTTGAGAACGAAACATGAACATTAGAATTTTAGTCCACAATCGGTCAGGTGTTTATAGCCCTATAAACTCAATGTTAAACATCATGGACATTCAGCGGAATTCAGACACGACCTTAAAGGCCYACAACGAGAATTTTAGGAAAGTAAAAAAATAGCATAATTTTAGTCCACAATCGGTCAACTGTTTATAGCCCTATAAACTCAATGTTAAACATCAGAAAAATTCAGCGCAATTGAGACAGTTTATAGCCCTATAAACTCAATGTTAAAGAACATGGAAATTCAGCGAAATCCAGACACGATCTCAAAATTGAAAGTGAAAAAGCGCAAAGTAAATTGGAAAAGATCGGGAAAACAAAAACATTGGCCACACGTGCCTGGCTGCGAACTGCGACCTACGGTTGTACAAATTTACAAGAATTTACAAGCCGCTAGTCCACTCGTGTGTCCAGTTAAAGGTGCTGCTTGTGAATCCCTCCCAATAGTTTATCTACCATTGCCAAACCTGATGGGCCCGTGAGCAATACAGCCATAGATGGGGCGTGGTTTCCCAGGCCCAGTCACAGCGCGTGCATGTCTCTGTGACATCCATTCCTCTTTACCATAGCCACGTTGCAGATGCGGTTATAAGCAATGGCTATGTCTATATAAGGCTGGCATGTTTCTGGAACGAATCGTCTTTAGGGCCGTCCATTGTTTCTCGAAGTCCAGGTTTCCCAGTTGGAAGCGAGGTTCTTTGACTGCTCTTGTTGTTGCCAAGGTGATCACTTGCATCTTCCACTTTGCCTGTTGTGTCTTTCGCCCCACTCCTATAGTGTAGCAGTGTACTGGAATGAAGTCTTCTACCTTTTCAATCTCCCCCCACCCTGTTAGCAGAGGTTCTACCTGGAGGGCTCCTGGTTGCCTTGTGATTAGTCTTGTTGTCTTACCTTAATTCTGGGACGACTCCCAGACTCTTACCCCCGTGATGATGTCACTGCTTCTGTGGATAGTCTTCTCTCCTTCTGCTTCAAGTTTTCCATCCTCATTCGCAGCGGTAGAGGACCAAACCTGGACCCTCACTCCCTGCATTCAATCTGGGCACAGGATTCGGAGTATTCTTCTCGAATCCTCCGGGTCTTCCCACCATGTGTTAGGGGTTTTTTCCATGTCTGTTCGGATGGCTCAGAGCCAGTAGTCTGGGACAACTTGTTGTAGGTTCAAGTAGTTCCTCTCTAGATGTCTTACTGTAGGTAGCCTCTTCCGCAGGGCTGCCAGGGGTACCCAGTCGTTTGTGTTCTGGTCCCAGAGATCCTTAATCTGGACCACCCCTTTTTCCACCCACGTCCTACCAAAAGTTCTTGCCTTCCCATCTGCTGGGAAGTTTGTGTCGTCCTCTTGCCTTAAAAATTTGTTCTCGAAGAGGATTTGGTTGAGGACCTCTATCCTGGTCTGCGGTGGTTTTTGTGTTTGTGGAAACAAAGATGAACTTTTGGAAGAAAAAACAATCAATAGGCTCATGACCTTTCAAACAGGCATCACAAAGAAAAGTAGGCTTATGGCCTCTCAAAACATACATCAAAAGTAAGAGATAGGCCCGTGGCCTTTCAAAGAAATAACATGAACAAGGCTCTCCGACCTTGCCAATTATCCTAATTTATTTAGCATCAAGAAAGGGTAAAGTCTGAATAACCAAACCAAATGTATAAAGGTTAAGCGTCGAAGAAGTGTCTGAGTCGAGGATTAGGTAGCATAAGTTTGCCAATGTGAGTTGAGTGAATGACACGTGGTTGCTCGTTTTAATGACCTGCAGACAAAACAAAATCATTTCACAATCCTAACAGAGTGAACCATTTATTCACTTTCAAACACATTACACTTACGCTTTCAAACCTTTCAATCAGACATTCTCTTTTCGACTTAGTCAGTTAAGGACCTCTGTCGATCAAACACAGACCCTTTAGCCGCTGACCCGAAATCAGAAATGCCATTTAGCGCAAAGGTTGATGCAAAATGTGGGTGTTGAGGGTGAGTGAGGGTTGAGTTGGCGAACCAACCTGTTACCATAAGGCAACAACAAGTAGTCGTGTACAGACTCACAACGAGTCTTCTTGAGTAAGATGACCTGCAATCACACACAGGTCACAAGGTCTCAACACCTCTCTCACTATCAACATGGCCTTGCATGAAGTTCCACGATGTGAACTTCAATTCTAACGGAGGACTATATTATAGTTCGATCAAATGTACGTATGAAGTAAGAAGACCCTCACAGGAGTCTTCATCTCATACTTACTAGGCTATAAAGATTCGATCGAGCAGTAGGATGACTTGGACATGAGTATCCTTCCACTTGTTTTTAGTCTAATAGACTTAGACAGACCATGGGATGACCCGCACAGAGGTACCCCACTTCTAGTCTATCAACCCAACAGTCTAAAATACGTATGTATGTACAAACGAGAAATAGGATGTTCCTCACACATGAGCCTTATCCTATCACTCGTTCTGAACCACTATTCTATATCCATACATTCATTAGATACAAGGTGGTTGAGGGCAGTATAGACAAGGGTTTACAGGATGAGAATGAGAAAACAGACGAAGTCCTTTCTCGTTTCGTGTCTTTATTCTTCTTTCTCATCCCCCTAATCCTTTCTCCTTATTTCTTCCTTCATTCTCTTTTGTGCTTTCCTCCTTCTTTTCTTCTCTCTACCTTTTCATTTCAACCCCACGACCTCCTGCCCAAATGACCCTGTATGCACTTGGACTTGCTCTAGGTCAGCGTCCATGAAGGCGATCATGACTCTAGCCAGGCACATGGTTCATATGCACATATCTGATTGTGTTAGCAATCAGATCAAATAATAATAATAATAATAATAATAATAATAATAATAATAATAATAATAATAATAATAATAATAATAGGAATATGAGTAAGCGCGATACACAGAAAACTAAGTTACAATAATCATACAGAAGTTCTGATGGTCGTGTAACAAACAGAGAGCTGAAATGCACCAAGATTCTATCCGAACAAGAGCGATATAGTGACCCTGTGAGCCAATGTCCAAACTCAAGCCACATCATTGCAGTATCCAATATCGCTCCTACTGTCTGATGCAGTGCCCAACCCACTTTACTCATCCTTCCTATCCTACGTACGTTCTCACAATATCGCTCCTCCTTTCTCCTCTCCTTTTCTCTCCTTCTTCTTCTTCTTCTTCTTCTTCTTCTTCTTCTTCTTCTTCTTCTTCTTTCCTTACCACTGCTTCTCCCGCTACTCCCCTACCACCTTTCCTGCACGTTCCACTCTTCTCCGCGCGAGCCGCCATTCTCCACCGCGTGGTCATTTCTCCTTCTCAAGGAGGTAGGTGGTCGTTTCCTCCTTGGCTCTGTTCGAAGTTCTCCCCCAAAAGGCTCCGAGGCCGCGAGCTTCTCCTCTCACGATCCGCTCTACTTTGCCCTTCCCCCGAGGGTGTGAGCCAGTATCGAGTGGGCTAAGTTCGATTTTCCGGATTTGTAGCCTGTGAGAGAATGGACTTGCCCGGAATTCGGGGCAAGAGCATTAAGGTAAGTTTACAAAAGAGATTCATACACGTAAAAGAAAAGAAAAACAAAAATAACTCGACAAGAAATAAGAGAAAAATAAAATCCAAAAAGAAAATAAAATAATAATAAAAAAAATGTAACTGCTAACTACCCTAGACTGCGAAGTGGCATGCCCTTGTTTTCAAACGAGGTTAACTGTACCTACTAACTCTAACTAACTTCGATCTCGAGGTCACGAGTTCGAGTCTCGACCTACAGCAGTGCCTAAATTTGAGTTGTTTGCTAAAAGAAAAGGCTAGCCCAGAGGTCGTCGGGTTTCGATCTATCAATCTATTATATGCAAATCCAACCAGTTACCTACTGGGCTAGCTCTTACCACAGTATGATAAAGAGCCGCTTTTCTATAAGTAGAATTAGCTGGTCTGACTTTCTAAATCTATGTGCGTGTATGGTTGTTGGTCTGCATGCCTCTATGAGTGTTTGTCGGCTTGAGTGTGTGTGTGACCCTCCTGGGTACTTAGTTAATCGGAAGGCCCAAAGGGCCTGTACTTACCGGTGACCGTGCCATTGAGGGTTGCTACGGGTAAAACACTCAAGTTGTGGGGAAAGAGGCCCGCGACACTTAGGAGTCGCGGAAAACACTCAAGTAGCAGGTAGGTCAGTACCACACCAAGTAAAGGTAGATATGCCAAGTACTCGAGGCCAAGCAGGAGAAGAAAAAAATTGACATTCTTTTAGAGGCCCAGTACCGATAGATAGACAGGTACCATCCCAAGTCTAAGCGTGTGTCGTAGATGTACCCAACACAACACTAACCTAATCAACTCCTCGACCCTCTTGGTCGGACGGTATTACTACCGATGCTAACCATCACAGTGCACGTCATAACAACGTGCGCGCATAATTTTCTCACCGATTTGCCCCGGCCTCAATCGTCGAGGAAATCATTTCAAGTGTCACGCTAAAGCGCGCACACCCTTTTCATTTCAGACCGGCCCCGTTATGGTAGCCGATGTGGTCGTTGTGTCGACTGCAAAAGAGTGGGTATCCGACAACGTTCGCAGACCCTATTAAGTGACGTCCCCATCGCTAGGAACGTTTATCACAATCGTTCACACAATTTTCCCTTAGATCGTTTTCCAAGATCAAATCAAACTGATAAAATATGACATGATCGATAACAACACTGGACAGATGATACAATACAAGACAATACATGTACCTCTCTTTCCTTTTGAAAGAGAAGGCAAATCCCATTCCCAAAATAAGGCGTATCTTTGATAAGTGGATAGCCAAATCCGAGTCCCTGGATTAAGATGCGGTCAGATT